CACACGTTAGTATTATTTATTGATTTGCTGTCGATCGATATTATTGTTAATGGTCTGGCGCTTAATCTTGTCCATAATTGGTTGGCCAACAAAAAAAAACAAGCTGGCAAAAAGCAATTACAACAATACTAAATATAGAGAGCTCTGAAAAAATCGTATATATAAGGCGATAGTAGATAATTTTAATAGATTTATCAAAAATCTATTTGATATCTGGCATATATGGTCAAAAGTATTAAAAATTATGTATTGTTATTGGTTTTTCAAAAATAATAAGAGATTTTGAGGGTATATTAGTCTTTGTGCCAATGACATTTATTTGAGATCGAAATATTTATGTCCATAAGCCATAGAATGGTTCTAACTCCTTTAGGAAACAAAAGAAATGTCAGCCTCTAGCATGGAAAGTAACGTTACTTAAAAACGTATAAGATTTTAGAAAATTAAAAAATTATTGAATTTAATTTATGACCAAATTTGAGACGCTCTATATTTTTCACAGTTGGAATTGAACACACGATCTTTGGGATTGTAATGAAACAATTCATTTACTGTGTTATAGGATAAAGGAGTATCAAAATCTACAGTCCTCGTTTTTAGGCTCATGTGGCGCCCAAATGATTTGATTAAAAATGCAAATTATCAAATTGTTTGCTCTGCAACGAACTAGTTTTCTTTAAGAACTTGAGGTCTTGGGGTCTTTTATTGTTAATAGAAGACCCTGAGGTTTTCTGCCGTCCATAGAAAACTTTGAGGTCTACTATTGTCCATAAAAGATCTTTAGGTCTTGTATTGTCCTTAGAAGACCTTGAGGGTTTCTATTATCTGTAGGCAAGCTTGAGGTTTTGAATTGCCTTCAGGTGACCTTAAGTTTGCTATTTACCGTAGAAAACCTTGAAGTCTTGTGTTGTTCATAGAAAATCTTGAGATCCAAGAAATCTGAACATACTCCTAAAAAAATGCCGGATTTTTAATAGCTAACAGTCAATTTGACGTTTGAATAAATTTCCGATTTTTTGCATACACTTTCCCAGTAACCATTATCTAGAGCTCCAATGTCATTTTTTTGCTTTTTTAAATATTACGAATTTCTGAAAAATACCTGAAAAGGTAATTTTCCATTTAATAAAAATTCGGAAAACCCTAAAAAATGTTATAAAGATGTACATAGAATGTCTACTTCCCAGCAAACATTTGTAACCCTAGTTCAATTTTTTTTTGTTGGAAATTTCCGATTTTCTGAAAAATATCTAACATTTTGCCATTAAATAAATATTAAAAATAAATAAATAAATAAATAAATAAAAAAGGGTATTGAGGTTATGTATATATTCTGCAAAAAAAAAAATAAGAAAACAATGTTTTTTTTCAATTCCGGAATTCTTGCCATTTCATAAATATTCAGAAAAAAAACTAAGAAAAAATTTAGATGTACATATCGTGTGTATTTACCCAGCAAACTTTTTTTATCTAGAGTTCCAAAATCCATTTTATTTTTAATTTCCGAATTTTTGAAAAATGTTCCTCTTTTTGTCATTTAATACAAATTCAGAAAAAACAGGAAGAATTGTTTTAGCTGAATATTGAGGTATTGTATATTGGTTTATTGCCAGAATTTATTTTTTTTTTTAATTTTTCTTTAGAAATATTCCCATTAGGGGCTCTTCTATGCACACCCCTTTCACATTGGAAATGTGGGCATTAAAGTCTAAATAATTTTAAAAAATATCTCTCACTTTTTTATCATTTAACATCTCACACATAATTTTTTATAATCTCTTTGTCTTGTTTTTTATTTTATGCCAATTAAGCGATGGAATTCTTCTCATTTCCTTTTTTAAAAGAAAAAACTTCCGCTTTTTAATGTCCCCCATGGCTTTCTATGTTACATTTAATACCATGATGGTCATAATGGTCAAGATGTCTCTAAAGAAAGGTGATAATATTCTTCAAAGGAATATTACTATTTATATTACACCCATCAAAAAGCTAACACTTTGAAATTCCTTGAGACAAAAAAATAAAAGCCAAACGTCCAAATCCAAATTTAATTGTGGATTTGTGTCATCAGCAACCCACTCTTTTCTTTCACTGGCATGGATGATATGCGTGCCGAATACCATAAAAATTACACACTTAATTTCATGAAAGTTTAGATTTTTTGTTTTGTTACACTTTCTTCGAGAGCCCGGTAATTTTCATAATTTTTGTTTAAATAATATAATTTGATGAAAAGAAAGGTAGCGAGAGAGACACACACAGACCGGAAAACGATTTAATGCCACTTTCCCCGAAATTTACAACAATAACAACATTTCATTAGCCTGCCCATAAATCATCAGCACCTCACATGTGGGTTGGTGTTTTTTTTTTTCAGTTGGGTTTCCTCCCCCAGTGGGGGGCCCTGGGGTGTTATTGTTCAAGAATTAGTTGCCATTATCTGGGTATTACTGTAAATGACAATTAAAGAAAAAACTTTGTAAAAATTTGTTTTGTCTGAGAAAAAAAAACATTTTGGGAGTTTTTATTTTTTCCAAAAGACAAACATTACAAAAGATCCAACATTAAGACATAATTATCTTCTCAACGCTTACTTTGTTTAAGTCAAAAGTTTTCTTCTTTAAAATACTTGGAGTTTTGTGTCTTTGTTTGATGCATGTATGTGTCTGTGTGTGTGAGTGAGTACCCCCACATGGAAATCTAAAACCTCTGGGTGTGCGTGTTTGTGTGTGGAAAAGATAGACAGGTGGACAAATAGAAAGGTCGGTCGGACAGACGGACGAACAGAGATAACAAAAATGTACAGAGCGACACATTTGAAATAAGTAATTGTTGTAAGCGTCCACACAAAACCAACAACAATCTCCCAACAAAAGAAAACTCTCAGCCGCAATCATTAACATCATCATTGTCGTCGTCGTCGTCATCATCATTGGCATTTTGGAATTCCACAAACACACCAACGGAAATAACAAATTTTCAGTCCGAGGCAGAAAAAAATTGCTCCTCGTCAATCGTCAACTAGCTTAGGGAGCTATTTTTTCCAGCACTCCATCAGCTTGGATTGACTACTGGATGTTGCGTTTTTTGCTTCTACTTCGCCTTCGTCTTCTCATTGAAATTGTTGTTTCCTTTTGGACTTGTTTGAATTTTTCTACTTCGACAGCTAGCCAGCCTGCCAGCAATCGAAAGAAAGGCAGAAAAAACCTGAAACGGAAGCCCACTAATAATGTGGCTTTTTTAATCGAAGCCAAGTTATTGTCGTTTAAGACCGGAATGAGGAGGAATGTATGAATCAGCTTGGCGTAACAAATCTATGAATGAATGAACGAAATGAAAATAAATGGTATGGGTATGGGATGCAACTGCGATCATTGGATTGATACATTAAAACAGAGATTTAGAGTTAAAAGTAATTTATTAGATTTTTTCTTGGTATTGTTCTCCACTAGGTGGCTTCTGCCGGAAAAGACAGGTCACTGAAAAGAAACGCAACAAAGGCAAAATATTAGGAAAGTAATGAATGTTTATTGTTTGATTGCTACCAAGAATTTTGTTGAACGGGTAAATTGCGGCTATGCGTGAGAAAAAGATATCCAAACAACACCTGTGGATGGCCCCATATGCCGACAGTGGAATAAAGTTTAAAAATAAACACTTGCCTCTCAAAAAAAAAAAAAAAAAAAAAAAAAAAAAAAAAAAAAAAAAAAAAACACACAAAATAAATAATAACTGAAACTACAATTACACGCACCAGAAGTGGTAGGGATTTCAAAATAGATGTGCTCTGGCCAGCATGGGGGCCGGCCATAAGACTTCCAGAAACTGTGATTGCTGCTATTGTCGGTGGCCCCCCAAAAAATATAAGACCATGAGTGTGAGTGTAATAACAATTAATAAAAATTAATTGTTTTCCTTGGTGTCTATGTCTACGTGTATGTGTGATTGTTTTAATACCAGGAAAACCCCATAAAATCAAGGAAGACACCTTAATAAAAACAAGAGAAACAGTTTGTTTTTGTATTTTGGATACAAAGAAGCCGCCCCAAAAATGCATCAGGTACACTGGAAGTGGCCGCAAAGTAGCCACTTTTTTCCCGTCTTTTTTTAATAACAACCTGTCGTCATAGTGCATGGGAAGATAGACCACATATCAGGCCAATTGTTGCTTTTGCTTAGATTTCCCACGTTACGAAACGGGAGCACAAAATTGTACTGTTTTGAAGGGCATGGTATAAAAGTTATTTGAAAATAGAAAAATTGTGTAACAATTTTTTTTTAATTTTATTTTGAAAAGAAGTGATATTAAATTCAAAAGGGAGTCGCAAAAAAAAATACAAGAAAAACAATCAGAATATTATGAGAGTATACGTAAAAATAGGAGTCACGTATATCGGCGTTTTGAAAATTTGCACCACAAATTAAGCTAAATGTAGGAGACAGGTCCCCCTCTGTGACTATTTAAGATTAAGATTCCCTCAATTTTAGGGAAGATTTTTTTTAGAAAATTTTGAACCTTAAGCGGGTATTTTTGTTTATTTAAAAAAAAAGCTAGAAACGGGTTGTTTTGGTTCTTTTTTAAAATATAGCTAGAAACTCCCCTTTAAGGAGATCGTAACCAGACAAAGTTTTACAAAAATATATTTGTCTTCAAATTCTACTACAGGTCTCAAAATACAGCAAAAGTCTAAATTTTTAATTTTTAACACATTTTTTATGGTTATATCCGCACTTCATTTGAGTTTATGCCAAATTCTCCTACAACGCGTTACTTTAGAAGGATGATGTCAAAGACAAAAATATTCTTCATTGAATTTAGCTATAAGTCACTAAAGAAAAGAAATCTCTACTTCCATTATATAACAAGTTAATACCTGCATCAATTTTTTCAAAAAAAAAAAAAAAAAATATGTCATTTTTTATTTTATTTTAATAAAAACATGAAAAAATATAAAAATTCTCAAAAAATAACCATTTCCCTTTCTCTCTTCTCTTTTCAGTTATAATTTCAACGAAGGACAATTCCCACTTCATAAGATCCTTCAATACCACCTCTAACAAGAGTTAAATACAACACCATCGCCATTACGATCTTTACAACACATTACCAGCAACATGTCTTCTTCAACGCTCTCCCAACTCTCTCCCACCATTGTGTTCACCACTCTCCTGCTCTCTTTGCAAATATGTCGCATCGACTGTAAATCTTCGAATCTTTTTACACACTTTCAAAATCAACGTTTTGCCATGGAACCTCAGGATCAAACAGCGGTAGTGGGTGCCCGGGTCACCCTGCCCTGTCGTGTCATAAACAAACAAGGTACCTTACAATGGACCAAAGATGATTTTGGTCTGGGTACATCTCGTGATTTGGCCGGCTTTGAACGTTACAGCATGATAGGCAGTGATGAGGAGGGTGATTATTCACTGGAAATATATCCAGTAATGTTGGATGATGATGCTCGTTATCAGTGTCAAGTAAGTCCAGGGCCTGAAGGCCAGCCAGCTGTGCGTTCAACCTTTGCCAAAATCACAGTGCTTGTGCCACCCGAAGCCCCGAAAATTGTTCAGGGTGAGGTCATTCACACCACCGAAGATCGCAAGGTGGATATTGAATGTATATCGGTGGGTGGCAAGCCGGCAGCGGAAATTACCTGGATTGATGGTTTCGGCAATGTCATAACCGATAACATAGATTATACCATCATACCAATGCCCGATCTCAGGAGATATACAGCCAAATCGGTTTTGCGTCTCACCCCGAAAAAGGAACATCACAACACCACCTTCACTTGCCAGGCTCAAAATACCGCCGATCGCACCTATCGTTCGGCTAAAATTCGTATTGATGTGAAATATGCTCCCAAGGTGACGGTCAATGTGATAGGAGGTGCTGTGGGCAATGGCCGTATCTTGGAACACTCTCAGGTGCGTTTGGAATGCAAATCGGAGGCAAATCCCAGTGATGTACGCTATAAATGGTACATTAATGATGAGCCCATTAGTGGGGGACAAAAAACCGAAATGATTATTCGGAATGTTACCCGGAAATTCCATGATGCCATTGTCAAGTGTGAGGTGCAGAATTCCATTGGCAAAAGTGAGGATAGCGAGACTTTGGACATTAGCTGTAAGTAGAGCTGACCTTTTCTACCTAAAAATTTAAGGAATTTGAAATAATTTTTAAAAATATTTTGTTTTGCTTGCAGATGGTCCCACCTTTAAAGAGAAACCCAGATCCATTGAATCTGACATTGGCAGTGTGGTAACCCTAAACTGTGAGGTTGATGGTAACCCCACGCCAGATATTGTTTGGATACAACATCCCATTGATAGGGTAAGTTCAAAAAATCAAAAAACATTCTTTCCATAAAAGATTTTAATAATCCCCTCCTCCCTCTCTATACTTGCAGGTTGTTGGTTCCAGTTCCAATTTAACCTTCAGTGTCACCAATGAAACCGCCGGCCGTTATTACTGCAAAGCCAATGTCCCTGGCTATCCAGAAATATCCGCTGATGCCTATGTCTATTTGAAAGGTTCACCCACAATCTCATCGGCCCGCACTCAATACGGTTTGATGGGTGATACAGCGCGTATTGAATGTTTTGCCACATCGGTGCCAAGGGCTCGCCATGTCTCATGGACTTTTAATGGCCATGAAATTAGTTCCGAAATGGGTCACGACTACTCCATATTGGTTGATGCCGTTCCCGGTGGTGTTAAGTCAACGCTGATCATTCGGGATAGTCAGTCGTATCATTATGGCAAATACAATTGCACCGTGGTCAATGATTATGGCAATGATGTGGCGGAAATTAATTTACAGGCTCAAAGTAAGTTTTGAAAATTATTTTTTTGGAAATTATTTTCTTAAAATTGAAAATAAAATTTGTATTTTTTAAATAAGGATTTTTTATAACTCACTAATTTGTTTGTGTTTCTTTTATTCTTTCAATTTGCAGAAAGTGTCCCCCTACTGATGACCATTGTTGGCGGTATCTCGGCCGTGGCGTTGCTCATGATCATCACTATTTTGGTCATTGTATATTTCAAGTGTAAAAAACGCTCCAAACTTCCACCAGCCGATGTCATTAGCGAACATCAAATCACCAAAAACGGCGGTGTGGGCTCGTGCAAAATGGAACCCGGTGATCGTACCTCCAACTATAGTGATCTCAAAGTTGATATATCCGGTGGCTATGTACCGTATGGTGATTACACCACTCATTACAGCCCCCCGCCCCAATACCTCACCACATGTTCGACCAAATCGAACGGCAGCTCTACAATTATACAAAACAATCACCAAAATCATTTGCAACAACAAATGCAGCAACAACAACACCAACAAACCCTGCCCATGACATTTTTAACAAACGTTAATGGCAGCAGTAGTTTAGCTGGCAGTATAATTACCGCCCGTGATATACGACAAGATAATGGACTTCCTAGCCTACAATCGACCACAGCTTCGGTGGTTAGTTCATCGCCCAACGGCAGCTGTAGCAATCAGAGTACAGCAACACATGTTGTTGCCGCATCGTCGTCGGCGACACCAGCATCCGCTGTCGATCCACGTTTCAGTGCCATCTATGGTAATCCCTATTTAAGATCATCGAATTCGTCGCTGCTGCCACCACCCACAGCTGTATAAGAAGCCCAAAGGGGATTTAGGATTTTGTTTGTATGTATGAGATTTTGTTTATAAGAAAACAAAAACAATTGAAGTAAGTGTAGTAGAACAAAGACTGAAATTTGTGTATATATGTGTAAAACCAATCAACGACAACTACATACATAATAAGTAGGTGAGATTTCGTCGTGGAAAACCTGTTAATGGATTTGTGAAGTCTGTGGTGACAAGGGGGGCTATGAAATGTGGGGAAAATGGAAAATCCAATAAGGGAGACTACAATTTAACCAGACCCTGATTTCGAGAGACCCATTTAGGTCATGAAAAAATTAGTTGTCAAATTGAAAAAATCGAGGTTTCCGTAAAACAAAATTCAAGAGGCATATTTGGCCTGTCATCTTCTAAGTTTAAACAGTTTTATATCTAAAGACCTGTAGCAAATCGTTGAACAAAATTGCAAAGTAATGGCGTCTAAGAATAGTGTCGGAGTATTTAATTAAAAAATATTTTTTTGAAGTCTTACCTAACAAGAAGTGGCGTCCAATGCATTGGATGGACTAGCTGAATTCTAAACGGGCATTCATATTTAGTGGTTATTGATGTTATGACACTGACACTCGAGCTTACGCTCGATGACAGACTAAAACGGCGCCCAACGATGATTGCTTAGTGCGTTGGTGCGTGAAGATAAGAGATTTTTTAATAGTGACATCACTTCAGAGAAATCTTTGAAAAAAGAAAATAAAAGTACTAGTACCAAGAAGTGGCGCCCAACGTGTTATCACTCCTCCAGATAATTGTTTTTCAGTTCGACAGGATCTCAAAGATGTCAATGTATGGTACATAGAATGATTCAAGCGTCATCAAATAAGCAAACAAGACATTGTCATGAAATGGCGCCCAACGTGAAAATCTGCATTGATGGATGGTAACTTTGGTTTGATTCAATGCAATTTCCTAATGGGTAGCCATACGACTGAAGGAAAGTTATCGGAATACTTAAGACAAAAAAATAACGCTCAACGTGGCTCTAGACCAATTTCTCTTATTTGAAGGAATTTTGAATGGGAATTGGACAGTAAAATGCAATGATCAGGAAATGGCGCCCAACGCGGATTGGGTGATTGGTAAAGTTTGTTCCAATTTTGTTCAGTCTGAATCTAGGCTAGTAGAAAATGTTGTTATGATTCGTCTGACGTTTTAGGCGAACCCTAATACCATGACGTAATTTATATGGCGCCCAATGAACCAATTCATATTTTTGAGCGAACCTTTTTCTTTTTATTCAGCAACATTTAATAGTACAACGAATAATCAATTTTGAGTCATGAAACATTGTTTCAATGCACAGACAAAAATGACGCCCAACAAAGGGATCTTTTTTCCGAGCGCAAAAAGATGTTTTTTTATAAAAAAATGCAGTACCCAAAGGCCAGTTGTCATACTTAAAATTAATTTTCGTACATAAAACTTGTTGATCATGGTGCTAATTAGATGTGGCGCCTAACATTAAAACGTGCATTCACATAAAATGGCGCCCAATCAGTCGAACTGTAAAATTAGTATTTCGTTGAAAATCAACCTCTTTCTGCTCCCCAAAGTAAATATTTCAAGTTTTGTTTTTCAAACTCTCCCCACAGAATGCTTTTGGAAAAGAATCCATTAACAAGTGCCGCTGATGAATAGTCGTATATTACTAAAATTTTAACGAAAAACTGATCAAAGACTTAAATAAACCGGTAGTATTGTATCTATCAATCAATGTCCTCTTTCAATAGCCACAAAATAGTAACAAAACAAAGTCATTTCCGGTACAATTTGTTAATAACAGAAAAAGAAAAACCAAAACTACCGCTCTATTTTGCCCTCCCCCCTTCATTCTTTTGACGAACTATGGATTTTTAGCCTTAGACAGACGAACAAAAAGAAAATCGAAATGAAAACGAAAAAAATCAATAGCATTTTTTTAAAAAATAGTATTTTGTTTAAAAATTAATTTTAATTTCTTTTTCAATTAAGCTTAAGCCAAAGTACCTGATAGACGTAAGAATATTTGTTTTAGATCGATTAAGGAAAACCAAGAAAACCAAACTTGAATGCAAAAAAATGTTCATTTGTCATTCACATTCAGCTTAGTTTGTTAGCCTTATACGAATTAGTTTTTAACGAAATTGGAAATTGTACATAAACGAAAAAGGAAAAAATTTAGAACTCCACAACTACTTAAATCTTCTAACTTTAAATCTTTAAGTACTTAGTAGTATGTAAACGATAGCCAAAATGTATAACCTTCTCCTTATAGAATATGAAAGCTAGCTAGCATTTAACTTGTAAGTATCGATATGTATATGGGCTTTACCTTAAAGAAAATGACCCTTGGGGGAAGTTGGTTCCCCGTTGGGGTCTCATCACTTTGCTTTAGTTTCTGATCAAAGCATGTCTGCAATTACCTTGAATGTAGTGTCTTAAAATTTGTTGAAATTTTTGAAAAACAAAAAAAAAACTCATCATTGTCATCATTATTAATTCAAACAAAATCAACAACAAATACATGTGCTTTTGTGTACAAATATTTTTGAAAAACAAAAAAAAAAAACAAAAAGAAATTGAAAATTATTTTTTTGCTTACTATTAAATAGTATTTTATGCGAAAGTGCAAAATTTTAAGAAAACAAAGCCTGCTACTATTTACACTCAGAAAAATAAAATCATAATTCATTAGACTTTCACTTAAATGCACCTAATCTCCATAAAACACATAAACATAAATACACATACACACACAGACACCTAATTGCTTGCAAATGACTTGGTTTAGCCTGTATATGATTTCATTTTTATATATTAAAAAATACACGAAAAAAATCCAAAAATAATATTAAATATATTTTTTGCTATTATTAAAAACAAGCGACTCTTTTTTATTACGAATTGCATATGTAATTGTTCTTCTGTTCAGGCAATAACTTCTCTTTCTCTCTCTCTCTCTACATATATATATAAATGTATATTAATTGTTTTTATTTTTTCACACTTTTTTATTATAGTTTATAAATTAAATTAAGTTTAAACATAATTGCGTATTACATATAATTATTTTATTCAGACATACATACATACCATTACACCAACACATTACAAAATTGACACAAACATCCACAAATATATATTTTGTAATTTTTTATAAACGTATATTTTTGTAATATTTTGCAAAACATCATCGCCATCATCATCATTATTATCTTCAGCGACATTATCATTATCATCATCATCGTCGCCATCGTCATCGATAGACCGGACCGTTCGTTTATTCGTTCCTTCGCATATTTTTGATGATGCGCCACTTGTTCCAGTGTTGGAGACAATTGTTGTCATTGACAAACAAACAACAACAAATGATATAAATGTATGTTTGCTTAAAATTAATAATTGAAAAAAAAAAAAAAAAAACAAAAACAAAACGAAAATAATTATTATTAAATAAAAATAAATAGATGCTGACAATTTTGTTAATACGTATTACGTATATATGTAAATTATATATACATACTAATTATAATGATGATTTTTTATTATTATTATTAATAAAGACAAAAAAAATATTTAAATAAAAATTGAAAATTGTAATGAAATTGCGCTTTTGGTGTTTCATTTTCTATGGTATGAATAATAAAGGTAAGTAATGGGAAATTTTTGAAGCTATAATAAAATCAGCAAAACATGGAAAGGTTGTGAATCTCCGCCATAGGAAAACATTGAAATCCATAATTTTTTTCAAAATAAAACAAGCATCCTCCAAATACAGCTACAACCATGTAAGAAAGGCCCAACGTTGGCCGGACCGATTTTGCACATCTTGTAAACCACTCATAACCAAAAAAAAAAACATTTCTTTGCGGAATTTTAAATATGTGTTATGGCTTTAAAGCAGATATAATTTAAAGCCGAAAGAAACTAAAAGTACTTTTACGTTGTAAGGGATTTAGAAAAACCCCTCGGTTTAAATTGTCAATTCCATTACACATACCTCAAATAAATCTACATTAGGGAGGTTAACCCAGAAAAAAGCCGTAACGAAAACATGTCTTAATATATGGATGTATATCCTCCTCTTAATCGATTTCTACTAAATTTAAAAGACTGAACCGATATTCATCAATATCCATGAATTCCATCACGAATAACTCTTTTCTGGAAAATTCTCACCCGAATGCTCTTGTACGCTCGTAAACAATATAATGAGCTGTCACTGGAATAATTTTAACAGCTGTCGGATGAGTGGCTTAGATATGGCAGCAGTCTGAAGTTGTTTGCAGTTTTTATACCTCCACCATGGAAAGGAGGGTATATTAACTTGTCATTCCGTTTTTAACATAGACCCCATAATGTATATATATTCATAATCAGCATAAAATTCTAAGTCGATTTAACAATGTCCGTCTGTTTGTTTGTCTGTCCGTCCGTCTGTCTGTCTGTTGAAATCATGAAACAGGCCACATTATTTGACGTAGAGCGTCAAAATTTAGCAGAATAATTTGTATTGTGTCTAGTATGGTTGGTATTAAAAATTACATATATCGGTCCACGTTTTGGTATAGTCCCCATACAACGGTAACTCCCGATATTCGGTATTTAGATGATTTTTGCCACATTTTTTCATAGGTTTGTCTGAAAATTGGTTTTTGCTGGTCATAATGGGTTCTAGCTCCGGTGGCGAAACATTGCATGTATAAGTCCACGTTTTGGTATAGCCCCCATATGGCGGTACCTCCCGATATTCGGTATTTTGATGATTTTTGCCACATTTTTTCACGGATTTGTCTGAGAATTGGAATTTGTAGGTCATAGTGGGTCCTAGTTCGTGTGGAGAAACATTGTATGTATAGGTACACGCTTTTTTAAAGCCCCCATATAACGGTATCTCCCGATATTCGTATAGGTCCACGTTTTAGTAGAGCCCTATATATCGATACCTCCCGATATTCGGTATTTTGACGATTTTTGCACATTTTTCCATAATTGGTTCTAATGTTTCCATTACCCTAAGGTGGAGGGTATTAAAAGTTCGGGCCGGCCGAACTTAATGTTTTTTTGACCTGTTTCAACTCGCCCTGTATGTGAAAGCTATACGAAAAAGTGGGTCTGTATAGACAAAGCTCTGGCACTAGATCCCATTGCAGCTATAAATAGCAAATTTTAAACTATTCCGTTGGAAAGTGTGGCTAAAATCATCAAAATACCGAATATGGACGTCGGTCGACATGGCTCGTCTTCGAACTAGACCTGACTAAAGACAATTCTATGAAAAATTTCAGTTTTCTATCACAAATAGAATCGTAAAAAAATAAAGAAAACAGAATCATAATTTCCTCTTAAATTATCTCATTTTTCGGCTCATGTTCTAGAACATAGTTTTGAGCAGGGCTGATAAAAGTCAAATTATTCGAATTTATAAGCGCATCATTCGCCCTTAATTATATACTGCCATCTAGTGGTTCATAGCTAAGTGATCAAATAATAGTTTATTCAATTTGAAATTCTGAGGCAGACTTTAGGGAGGCAACTAATCACCATGTTTATCATCTGTTGCCTGCTAAACTGGTATGCAATGTTTTAGATAATAACATCAAATATTTACTTATCTAATCAGCCTTTTACAGATAAAGAAATATAAAAGACGTGTTCGTTTTGTTTATTTAGTAAAAATAGTAAATATTCCTCAAAATAAGAAGACGAACATATAGCAAATACCAGAAACAAACCAATTTTGAGAAAAGTACCATCAAATGGGTGCTATAATAAAACGTGCACCAGCATTTCTCTTTTTCAATTCCAACTATCCTAGACATAAAAATACGATATATTTTTCAGTTGTCATTCGAATAATTCTTAATTTAATTCGTAACAATTTGTAGTTCGAATTATTTCAGTTGAATTTCGAATAATCTTTTTGTAATTAGAATTATTCCATTTGTAATTCGAATGATTCCAGTTGTAATTCGAATTATTCCATTTGAAATTACAAATTGTGTCATTCGAATTACAAGAATTTCAAACGGAATAATTCGAATTACAAATGAAATAATTCGAACAACAATTGGAATTTTCGAATTATAATGATTCTCAAATTACAATTGAAATGTTTCGAATTACATCTGATAAACGTGTAGCTATTGTACCAACTCAAAGTTCTTTTTCAAAAAATATGGGCTGTATCTTCACTTCAACAGATGGACAGAGAGACAGTATTTTTTTGGGTATTTTTAAGGGAACCCCTTGATTTGGAAAAAGAATTTGATACTCGTTCTAACATATCGGCCGGCATCTCATGAAATGCTTCAACATTGCCTTCAATTGAACTGCAAACAAGTAAAAAAAAAACATTAAGTTCGGCCGAGCCGAATTTTTAATACCCTCCACATTTGGGTAAAGAAAACATTTTTATATAAAATATCTGAATTCAAACGTGTTTCACTTTTAACTAAAAATACCGTTTGGATAATACTGTTAAACTTTTCAAAAAAACCATGAAGTGGGTGAGGCCGTTATATGGGGGCCATACCAAAATGGAAACCTCTATAGACAATTTTTATTCAATTTTATGCTACGAAATCCTTAAATACCAAATTTAAAACAATTTCGTGTGTAAATGTGACTAGGATTATCGAAATACCGAATATCTGTTGATATCGTTATATGTGTGCTATAGGAAAACGTTGGCCTGAATATTCAATGTTCTGCCACCGGTGCTAGAACCGATTATGAACTACTAATACATGGAAAAATGTGGCAAAAATCATCAAAATATTGATTATCCGGA